CTGCAAGGAGTAAGACTTAGAAATACATCTTTGGGGAGGGACATTAGTGGGCATAGCCCAGAAATATTTCTTGGAAATGAGTATGTCCTGGAGGCTGCTGTTTTGCTTATCAGATTCCAAAAGCATTTTACAAATGTTTTTGGAGCTCTAAGACATTCTGAGAATAATCTGGGGCAGGGGATCTGTTGGGCTCCGAGGAAATGTCAAGGTCTGAAGCAAACGTGTTTGCTTTGCACCAAGACAAAGGATTTATTGTGACCTAATGGATTGGATTGAAGACCAACTACAAGCACATGTGATTCCCCAGACTGCTTGTCTTGTCTTCCACGTCCAGATGGCATGCTTTGGGACTCGGTCATGAAAGGCTGTACCACCAAGTCCACATGCAAATCAATAAACCGTGGGCAAATCTCCATTCTGCAAGGTCGCAATACAGTAATTATAACATCCAGATGTTCACTGGCCACTTCTAAGGGGGTTTACCTCAAGAAATTCTTCCCACTAATCTTTGCTGGATTCCTGTTTCTGTGGACCTTCTTCTAAAAGACATTTGCTATGGGGCTGCATCAGCCCTGCATCTGAAGGATGCATTTATTTAATTCTTTATGCTTCGGTTTTGCCCCTACAGTGCTTCAAGGTGCCTTGATCTTCCCTGCTTGTACTGTTGCTCTGCTTTCTTCTGTAAAAATAAATAAGACATTTAAGCAAACCTGTATTGTGCAGCTGGATTTCAACAAACTCTGGGAGAAATCAGGGAATGCCATAATTATTGAACTTGATCCCTTAAGACCTGGATATGACATCAAAATTTCCCATGCCCCACTCCTCCCCTTTCTTCTTCAAGCAGAGGAAGAGACAAAGGCAAATAGGTGCTTCAGGGCACACCCAGGAGGACATCTAGACTGTGTTTCTCAACTAAGACATGTGGACTTCAACTCCCAGAATTCCTCAGCCAGCAAGGCTGGCTGGGGAATTCTGGGAGTTGAAGTCCACATGTCTTAAAGTTGGCAAGGTTGAGAAACATTGCTCTAGACCTTGTCTGGGACTCTTTATACCAAATGCATCTTTTCCCAGAATCGTGCTGCACCTGCAGAGGGTAGTCATGCCATACTGGGAAAAAGTACCGTTGTTTAAGAGTTGCACACTGATATTCTGTGTCTGATGGGGGTGTTACGTAGAATTTTAGGTTTTGTTATTAGCCTTTTAATAAAGGTGATATTAGCATTTCAGCATGGCATCCAGGCTTCCTTTTGAAGTTTGGGAAACCATGTTTTTCCTTTGAGCTAAAGCCATTTTCTTTGATGTTCAAAAAGTAGCCCTTTCAGGGACTGTCAATCAAACAATAGGGCTGTATTCTGAAGGCCATGAGCGTTGCAAGTGTTAAAGAAACAAACCTGGGTGGGGAAGGAGGAGATGCAACATATTTTAAGGGTGCCTTCCTTTCCCCCGTCTAATCAGTGTCTCTTATTGCTTGATTTGTTGCTTTCTGACTCATCACATATATGGAATGTATGTATCCTTTGTTCCTGTACCCTCTATAAAGACTTGACCCCCCCCCTTAATAAAATGCCTTTCACTTTGCCTGAAGTACTTGTGGTCTGTATTCCTAGGTGGGGGTGGGGGGGCAAAAAAGCCACTTTGCAAAGGTCTTGGGTGTTTCTCTCTCAAATTCAGGGATAGGTTCTTTCCAGCTCCATGCCAACTTGGGTGCCTGGGTTTGTAGGCAACAAATTAGTTGCTCATCCAGGATTGCAGCGTGGCACCCCTCAGGGCTCAGATTGGAACATGCGACATAGGATGAATTCACCCTCACATCTTCAGAGGAGGCGGACAACCAAGGAGCCAGGAGTGGGGAAGCGCTAGTTGGGAGTCCCTTGGGAGAAAACACAAGGTAAGGAAATGGGACAAGGGAGGAATACAACCGTGGGGAGCCTGTTGGGGCTCATGGTCCAGCTGTGGGAGCAAGGAAACCTCTCAGTCCAGCAGGGAGTGGCCAAATGAAGAATGGTCAGTCTGATTTGATTTCTGTTGAAAAATTGATTTCTCTTGAGTTACCATCATTTAGAAACTACAACTTTGTTTCCAGTGGCTATAGTTCTTCTCAGGCCACTTAAAAAAAAAAAAAAGACTACTGGCCCTTATCTTCTCCCTGGGACCATAAAACAGAACCACCACCACCAGATCAACGCAACCAGCCCATGGGCTCTGTCACATATCCTGACTCCCATGCCCAGTGACACAACCATGTCAAAGCTGTATGAAAGGCCACCAAG